AAAAATAGTTTCAGTTGTAGTAAAAGTAACTAGTATTCTAACTATACCGTAGTAACGAGTACACTTTCGTTTAGTAACTAGTACTATATATGTGCAGTTTATTACTAAAATATGTATTCTACAGCACTTATGCATATTAAGTGCATCAACCTCGTGGCAATACAACAATAGGGATGATGCATCGAGTTGGCGATGTGTCAAAGTATCGATTACTCATATTCATATTTAATTGAGTATCGATTTGTTATCTATGTTATTACGCCAATTTGAATGCTAATAAGTAAACTGAGAACACTGACTATCCATACTAATATTGTACATACTAAAGTGTGGCTTACGGTCGAATGGTACGGTAGGTTTGGTTGTATAACAGGTTGTATGGGCTTAGGTTCGCATGATAACGTGATGTCCGTGGTGCTGTTCATGATTGTACGAAATCATGACCGCTTACCATTAGGTAGGCCACTAGTTTATTTGTACTTCCAATTAATTAAAAAATTTGCGCAAGATTGTGTGTTAGACATAAATAAATTTATGTTCTAAGTTAGAACTATTAATTTTAGTTTCGTTCAGACTACGCTAGTGACAACTCCTATAAAAGTTTGTGTTAATTGCTCTGTGATGCAAACAGAGTAGGTATATATACATGTAGTAGCACTGGTAGAGTTACGTAGCTACGTGTTTGCACTTAGTAACTACACAAGACTTCTTATAGACGCAAGGTGACTTTATACTAAAAATAGATTTGCCACTTATTTGATTTTAGACTTTACTCTGAGTAATACAACGTGTAACGGAAAATATATTCACCTAAAAAATAAAGTCGCCACATTATACATCGTAAAATAAATGGACGTAACAAATTGAAAAAAAAAATGGCGGCAAATTTTTGACATTTCATGGTCACCATATTTATTTTATACTCTTATTTTTCTTGTTTAGACTTTTGGCGATAGTTCATATTTGTTGCGGCATTGGATACTTGGTATCAACAAATTAGGTAGCAATTTTATATCTTCCACAGTAAGAATATTTCATTCAGTAAATTTAACAATAATTTATGTATAATAAATTACATTTCTGACAAAAAGATAAAATGACATTGTTCTCTATTTGCATATGACGGGACATGTATAATTTATTATTATTATTATTATATACATGTCACGTGCTACATTGATAAACACTTAGCACTTTGTTATATTGACAACATTGACAGTTCCAAACATATATTATAACATTATTTTGCTTGTATGATAGTGACAAGGTACTCAAGTGTTTACATATTAGTACAGGTGACTGATATTCAACGTAATACATCTACCTGTTGTGTAAATAGTTTCATATAAATATTCATTCATAACTCGACATAACAATTATTTTTAATTCATTGATTATTAAAAAAAAAAGATAATATATTCACGACTACAATGCGATAAATTGTGGTTAGAGTCTACTATTACTGTTGGTTTGTAGTCGCGGTAGAATGCTAAGACGACCTTTCGACTTTAGTAATAGAGCTCGTAGGTACACTGTGTGGTTTTTTTGTGGATAAGCATCTCACACACCCACTCGTCGCCCCTCTGACTGGGGGCCGGTCTTTTGAAGGTATTTCCAATCAGTTGGTGGTAATCGTGATAGTTCTCGGGTTGTTTGTGTTCCGCTGAATATATTTAAATCAACATGGCGGTAACCTGCCGCCATTTTTGCAGATTTTTATTTGAATCCAACATGGCGGAGCTAGTATACCATCAATTTTACAGACTTTTAGCAATGGCAAACCATACGTTACTTTTACTGTAACTGAAGGCGACTTAGCTAAATTTATGAGATCCAGTTACCATTATTAATTTTATACCCATCAGTTTTCTATCATAGTCTCTATTGTACATTTTTGACGTTTCATATATAACCGTAGCGTAACTGGCACGTAGTCAAGTAAAATTAACAGGTTCGTGTTAACTCGATCTATCGATGACATCATCATCGTCTGCGGATCCGGTCGTGGTTATTTACATAAATCATTTCGGTGTACATGCTTCGCAATTCCATGACTTTTGGTGATAGACTCTTACGACTGATCACATTGTAATAATAATATCTCAGGACAGTTCACACAACTTCATCTAATCCCATGCTATGCAGATCTTGTGGAATGGGTACTACACAACTGAAACATTTTATGGTAGATGCACACCACCACAAAGACTGTCATGACAATAATTATTTATTATTCTTTTTTTAAGTTGTTAGATTTTTAGCGGCCGATTCCTTAAAAGGTTTGTTGTAATTACGTAGTTTTAAAATTTCTGATCTTTATTCACTAAGACACCTGTATTTATACATAGTTAAGGAGATAATACAATATATAAAATTCAGTATTTGTAACAAAACTCCTCGTAAACGTTTGAACAGCAACTGTTACCTGAGTGCCTGTCGGATACGATTTTAGTCTGAGGGCACCAGTAAAGGTTAGAATTAGAACCTCAACTCGGTCCGTAGTAATTTAATTTACTAGTATCGTATTCCGCAGTAATTAATTCAATCCCGATTTGAATTGGTTTGGTGATCAATAAGAAGATTGAAGTTTTACCCAAATTCTTTTATTTTTTTTATCACTACCTCTATCATCCAGTACCTCAGCGGTACTCGATGGTAGAGTTGTTGATATAATTCGTTGACATTCCAGGACTGAAATGTTATGTCTCTTCTACTGTAATTTTAATTGATTTTTAGAGTAAATTTTATTTTTTTGTGTGTATGTTGATCATATACCTAACTATATTGACAACCACGGTGGTCTAGCGGTCTAGCACACCGCTTTACGACCGATGATCGCGGGTTCGATTCCTCACACGGCACAAACATTTGTATTCCTGAGTATGATTGTTTGTATCGGTCTGGGTGTTTTCTATGTATAATATATATTTACAAAAAATATCTATGTATATGTATCAGTTATCTAGTACTCATAACACAAACTTTAACTAGCTTAACTTGGTGGCGCTGTGTGAATTGTCATGAGATTATTATTATTATTATTATATAGATACGATTTGGTCATATATGACGTATTATAAATGGGAAAGATTTTAAATTCAATTAAAAAAAAGACAAAAATTTTAGCTATTGTTATAGCAAACGGAAAAGATAAATAAAGATTCCGCTATTTTACTTAATAAGTATTTGCGTACGTTTCTTTTTAAAATCCTAAAGTTATCGCATGCGTGTATACTTACATACGCATTTTTGTACTACTTGTACTATCAATTATTGATAATTGTTTGTTACTTAGTATTGTTAGTATTATTAGTCAAAATGTCACGTTATATGTTTTTGTTGTTACAAAACTGACCTTCAGGTAAATTCCGTCGCCTACTCTATTACTGCAATGTCATTTTTGGCGTATTATCTATGGTATAATGATCTAGTATTATCCCAGCATACAGAGTAGGTACATATGTACATATATTGCTTATCATTAATACATCATTATACAACTTGAACATATATATAGAGTCAAGTCAAAAGAAAGATATAGTATAAACGAAAATTAAACATCTTTCCCAAAGAAACAATGAGAAATATTGAACATTGTTTTAAAAACCTTTTTACAATTTTCGCGCAGTCACGTGGTATATTTAATACAAGCTGTTCTCGCGACTGGAATTTAAGTTTATTTTTCTAATATATAAGATTTTTTTAAAATAAAAGTAGCCTAAATTACTCCATCAGTTACCTGCTAATAAAAGTCCCATCAAAATCGGTGCAGCCTTTTCAGAGATTAGCCGGAACAAACAGACAGACAGACAAAAATTGTAAAAAATGATATTTTGGTGTAGGTATGTACCATATTTATATGCAAGTAGTAAAAAACGATTACTTCAATATTACAAACAGACAGTCCAATTTAATTTATACGTATAGATTACTACACACACATACCCACAGTCTGTTCGTGACCACGGTTATTGGGACTTAGTCGAAATGTCGAGCGCTGAAATTCTTTATTTCCCATTAAACTATTCGTGTTAAGGCCCGGTAACCTATATCAATAATGCTACCTTGTGACCCTATTTCTTATATACTTACATAAATCGATATTCCTAATTTATAATATGCCTAACTATGCAACAGACATCGCGTTAACATGTGACGACCGTGATACTCCAGAGGAGTATGATGTTGTGATATATTATATGTGGTTATTTTGTCTATCCTATAAGAGGTAAAGTTTCTGAGGTTGTAGGGGCGTAATCTCTAGATCTACTGAATCGAATTTGAAAATTCTTTTCGTGTTGGATAGCCCATTTATCGAGTAAGACTATATACTATATAACTATGTCGCATGCCTAATCCTTTTTAATATGTAAATACACATTAACAAGCTAGTTAAGTAAATACGTAGAACTACATTGATTTAAAGGAGCAACACGCAAGTTTTTCTCTTTCTTCTTGTGATGAGACTTCATTCTGAATGAGTGGTAGAATAAAAAAATGTGACTGTTCTAACATTACAATTAATCTTTTTTTTAATATTCAAATTTAAAGTTCAAGGATGTATTTTATTGTTAAAATAAATAACTCACTTCAAATAACTCATATTTTACATATAGCGTAGCGTGTATTTGTCACAAAACTTAATATTATTTGTAGGTGATAGAATGAGTGGACTGTACGTGTAATGTAAATCAAACAATGGATAGAAAATGGTAAATACTTATAATGAAGATAGGTACGTGTACAAACACAGGTTGTAGGCAAAAAGTGACAATAAAATATATGACAATTCTAAAAGAAAATACATTTAAAATTGGTAGAAAAATAAATATATAAAAATGTGCAAAGAGATTGCAACATTATTTATAGAATTAACAAAAATCGAAAAGTAAAAAATAGCATATAAAAACATTTGTCAAAAATAAAAAAATATTTAGTAAGGTCATTTGGGAATAAAAAGTTTTTTTTTATTTGTATAACACTGCTTTTCTTGTTCCCAGGGTTGAGTTCTAGTCTACTATGCGGGCGCACCAAAGAGGTGGAAGTAGGGAGCAATGTGGGCGCAGGGGCAGCTCTCGCGCTGGCCCTGGTGCGGCCGCAGTCATCCGCGTCGCACTCCCCCTGTCAGCTCAAACTGAACGCTCCTGATGCAGCGGCATTTACAGTCAGACTTATTGATGTTAAGGTATGTATATTAATTACAGTTGAAGAGGAAAAACTCAATAATGGAGAGAATAATGGGCCCTTGTCCTTTGAACAAACATTTGTATACAGTAGGTGCTACAGACAGTAGCACATTGCTCTTTGTCGGGGCTGCTTTGAAGCAGAAGAAACGGCCGCTCAAACGTAAGCCTCGAATGCGTAGCAGTTGCCACAAAACGTATAGAAACCCTCGGAACGGTGAGAACGCTCAGTGAAGACCATGAAGATACTTGGAGACTGCACTTCTGGGAGGAGTTCGGCTGGCTACTCCAGTAGTCTAGGTTTTACGCGCATAACGGCCCAAATGAGAAACTAAATGCGGAAAATAGAGTCCAGCATACAATACATTGTGTCAACTATAAATTATAATTTATCAGACAGTTATAAATAATTATATTAAATATGATATTTAATGTATTTATTTATAACAACTCAGTCAGTGTATTTGGATGTTAGACTTTACACTTACACAAGTAATACTGTACTGAAACTTTAATATCCAAATACATTGACGGAAAGTGTTTGTCTCGTCATAAATGCACACAATGCATATTATATCTAGGATGAGGAGATTGTTCGATTTTTTTTTCATGAATTAATTATTATAATAATCCTAAACATATCACACAGCGCCATTCAGCCCAAAGCTTAGTAAAGCTTATAAATAAGTGTTATGGATAGTGGACAACTGATAGATATACTTTTTTTTTGTAAATACATACATAGAAAATACCCAGACTGATACAAATAATCATAATCTATACTTATAAATAAAATTGGAGTGTCTGTTTGTAATATTGAAATAACCGCTTTTTACTACATGCATATGAATATAAATAACATTTTTTACAATATTTGTCTGTATGTCTGTTTGTTCCGGCTCGTCTCTAAAATGACTGGATCTATTTTGATGGAACTTTTTTGCCTGGTAGCTGATGTAATAATGAGTAACTTAGGCTAATTTATTTTAGAAAAATAAAGTTAAATTCCACGCTGACGAAGTGAATATGAATACAAATGTTTGCGTCATGCGAGGTGACGAACCCGCGATCTTTGGAAGTAAGGCGATGTGGTAAACCGCTAGACCACCGAATTGTCAAACGAATGCATTGAAATGTTTATTCTTTATACCTTATAATTTCACTACCATATGTGACCCTTCTGTAAGAAGCACTAAGCGGTCTACAAACATTAGATGGCGCTATTTACAATATTTGTAATAATCTTTACATTGGGTACTTCATTAGTACTAAACACAAACTACCTTCTTTTAATATCATTTTAAAATATCGAATTATCTACAATAATGATGTGAACTCTAACACTTCAATCTGGAACGCTAAACAAGTTGCTTGACGAAGAATATTAATACTAAAGTACATAAGCAGAAAGCTTTATACTCATTTAATAAACAAGTCTATTTTCTTAGTGATTACTAATAAAAACAGAAATGTTAATCTATTAGGGTTTTCCGAGTTAGTAACTATAAATACAGAATTAGAAGATTTAATGGGCTTGAATGACAGTGTGACATTTTATGTCTGGTCTGGTTATGTAAATCAAGATGTTAGTCATGTCGGTCTGTACGGTGATAAAGAATTTATGTAATTTACAATATACATGCAAATGGCGGCGGAATTGAAAACAACCCGGTTATTTAGTTATTCAATACGGTACACATAACCATATTGAACTCGATTAATATTTTGACGCTACTAGTGATGTCCTTAGATTATGGTCGTTACGGCTGTATGGGCTGGGTGTCTTTGCGTATAGCAAATATATAATGATAACAATAAAAAAGTGGATAATGATTAAATATTATTTTTTTTTTATACTTTTATTTCTTTTTTAATACATATAATTATTGAATTCTCTGTTACAATAAGTCTAACAGCTTATGTATATGCTATTTATTATGAACTAGCTACTCGCCCCGGCTTCGCACGGGTGTACATGTATTATATATATAAACCTTCCTATTGAATCACTCTATCTATTAAAAAAAAACCGATTTAAAATTCAAATTGCGTAGTTTTAAAGGGATAAGCATACATAGGGATGGACAGACAGCTACGGCGACTTTGTTTTATACTATGTAATGATATAGAATAAATAAGTAGTAATTTGTCAGAAAGTGTTTTACTTATTATTCTTTTTTTCATAACATTACATTTTTGATCATGCATTATAAAATAATTGTGGGTTTAAAAAATATATATTCATACTTTTATATAGCTGGAGAAAGAGCAAAAGTATGTAAGTAAAAAGCAAAAGTAATCTATAATTTGGCAACCATAACCAAGACTCGAGAAGAAAAGAGTTGGCGGGCTCATCTATAAGCGTTTGAAAGAAATTAGTCAACGTAGACATTATATAACATTCGCCCTGTTTCTTATCTATGACTGTCACCATTTTCCTTGACCAACCACTATGAGATGGTCTCGGAATACTTTTTTTAATAATATAAATAAAAGACCTTGTACACATTTTAAATTGTTTTAACCTAAACCGAATTACAAAGATAGACAGAGTCAATGAACTTGTTAACATGAGGAAAACAATATAAAACCGTCCGTTTGTTTGCTGATATAACTACCAATATACTGTATCTACGTATAAATGAATAAATCTATAGACAACCTCGGTGCTCTAGTGGTATAGCATACCGCTTTACTATCTGATGGTGGCGGGTTCGATTCCCCGCGCGGTACAAACATTTGTATGTAGTATGATTGTTTGTATCGGTCTATGTGTTATCTATGTACAAAATAATGTATTTATATACAAAATAAAAAATCCATGTATTTATATCAGTTGTCTAGCACCCATAACACAAGCTCTGCTTAGCTTGGGACTAGATGGCGCTGTGTGAATTATCCTGAGATATTATTATTATTATTATCAGAAGTAATTCTTGGGATCATTATTCGAGTTTTCCGAGTGTACCTCAAAATTCCTAATAACATTATATTGACGGCCTCGGTGGTCTAGTGGTTTTGCACATCGCATTACTTCAGATGGTTGGTGGTTCGATTCGTCGTACAGTACAAACATTTGTATTCGTGAGTATAATTGTTTTATTTGTCTAGTTGGTTTTCTGTTTAATTACTTACTATAATATTGTATAGGCGGAAATTTATGAGTATGGATGGATGGATGTATGTTTATTACTCTGTCACGCAAAAATTATTGAACGGATTTTAATGAAACTTTACAATAATATAGCTTATACATCAGAAAAACACATAACGCGTCATGGAAGTGATAACGCGGACACAGCTGTTAATTATGTATTTACAAAAAATATCTAAGTAAATTTATCAGTTTTGTAGTATCCATAACACAAGCTTTGCTTGGAACTAGATGGCGCTGTGTGAATTGTCCCATTTTATATTAGGATATTATTATTGATCCACATCTTCAAAGTCTTCTTCTTGGATAGGAGGGAGGGGACAGTTAATGGAAACTATTGGCCAATTGACCTATATGAGTTGAAAAGCGCTCATTGATATAAACTACCAGTAGCCTAGTAACTCATTTATATGAACTCATTGTCAAATGAACTAAACATATTTATTTCAATTTAGACATATAGTTCCGATCAGCTGTTACTTTGCAGTCATTGACATGAATAAAACTTGTGGTTTTCCTTCAATTGAAATAGTCGTGTGAAAATGTTTTAAATGACTGGATATGTGCGTACATGTCACGTATGAGACGGAAGGACATGTTCACGTCGCAATGAAACTAAATATATCCAGACCTGACTCAATATTTGCAACTAGCTGACCCGCCAACTTCGTCTGCGTTTCATTTCCTCACCTTATGCAATATTTTTCATTACAGCTCCTCTCCTATTTGTCATAGCGCAATGTTATATAAGCTTTCCTCGACAAATGGACTATCCAACACAAAGACTTAACTGCTGAACTTAATTATTTTTGACTTCCAGATATATTGTATTATAAGGCTAGGCTTTTAGCTCAAATTGCAGACGAAGTCATGGGTAACAGCTAGTGGGTAACACCTACCTTTCCAAAGATTTTAAGTAAGAAATATGCAATGAGTTCGGGTTAACAATGAAATAAACAGGTAAAGATTTAATTTCCAATGAAATATGTACATTGTATTACGAATTATTGGAAACGCACGATTCACAGAAAACGTAAGCACAGATAATATTTAATTTACTCATTGCGACGCGACGTGAGGTTTAATATTCATAATCCTTACTAAAATTATAAATGCGAAAGTAATTGTCTGTTTGTCTGTCCATCTATCTATCTTGCTTTCAGTCAAAACTACCGAACTGATTTAACCGAAATTTGGTACACAAATAACATCCTTTCTCAGGGTCTATATAGGACATAGGGTACTTTTTAAAGCGAAAAAGGGATTGTAAGGGGTTGAAAGGGGAAAAGAAAAAAATTGTATGGAAGTATCGTCATTTTTGAAGCTGAAACGAACGTTGATCAAACTTTTTTCATTTGTTTTCTTTGGATTATTGAATATTTTTTCTTTATTTGGTCATAGTCATTATTTCATGAGGCGAAGTCGCGGGCACAGCTAGTAATATTATAAAAGCAAACGTAACTCTGTCTGACCTTTTGTCGACTAAATCATTGAACCAATATTGATAACGTTTGGCGTAAAGATAAATTGAACTTTGGCGAAGAATATATATATATATATATATATATATATATATATATAACTTTTTGTTACGAAAATGTAACATACATACGTCATAACATGAAGATTGAATCTTTGTATCCATAACTTATTTCTCAAATTGTGTGGAGTGGTCTTTTTTATGATAATGGCAAACAAGCATGATCTCATGTTATGGCAAACGGTTTCTGTAGCATATGGATGGCCTACTAATTTTCGGGCCTTTGGGAATGTCGTCAAACAAAATAGAAGACAAAATATTGACTCAATAATTAAAATGTATGTTTTAATAATAATAATATGTATCGC